TATATATATATATATATATATATATATATATATATATATAGGGGAAAAGACGAGCATTTTCCATCCCCATCTGATTTGCGCGGGAACAGAGTCGCAGACCCTCTCGTCACCCACCGACTCTTCTTTGTTCCTCTCGTATTCCGCAACGAAGCCACGAGTTCTATATTCTTTCTGCCCTCGATCCCACCGGATTCTGTCCCGATGCCGGTAACCCGGTCGCAAGCGATCTCCTCCAAACCTCGGTCTGAAACCCTAGCGGCCTCTCCGCCGCCGTCGTCGCCCGCTGCTCTCCTACCGTCTACCACTGCGAGAACCCATCCTCCGATGCCCCCCCCTGCGACGCCCTCCTCTTTCCTGGGCTCGGGTTCTGAGATTGTTCCCTCCGGAGGGGTGCCGCCCTGCAGGCGGAGCCTCCGCTTGGCCTACATGTCGGTTGCCCCCACTGGGAGCGCTACCTCTGACGCTGCAGAGAGTAGTGTTAAGAGGAGGCGACGATCTAGGGCTTCCAGCACTGCGGGCGAAGCGGAGGGCGGGGATATCGGGTGCAAGACTTGCGTGCATAGAGGAAGAAATGAAGTTTTGGAAGTCAGGTCTGTTGCAGAAGATGCGGTTGGGGGAAAGTACATGTTCCTGAGGTCGGGGGCGAAGATTTTTCGGAAAGGGTTGGGCCAGACGTTGTTAGAGACCGATAAGGTTACAGTAGAGAAGCTGGTGACCGATGTGCAGTGTGTGGAGGAAGCCTTTGAAAAGGATAAGAATGTTGATGCTGACGTGGTTGCAGAGAGGTTGGAGGAGAACACTGAAGAAGAAAGATTCGGTTCTAAAGAGAAAGGAAAGGGAATACTGAGAGTGCCAGAACCAATCGAGCTACAATTCATGAAAGTGAATCTCACCGAGAGAAAAGGGAAGGACAAATTGGTTATGGAAGAAGATTATTTTCCAGTATATGCATCTGAGTTTGGCATGGATGCCGACATGATAAATCTGAAGGATGCTGTGGAATACTCACAGAAAGATGATGTATCAGTGAAAAAAAGAAAGCCTCAGAAAGGAAAAGGACGAATTGATTCTCGAAAAGAATCAGACAGGACAAGAGCTATGGAATTGGCTCCCAAGTTTGCCTTCTTTAAACCTAAAGAAGATGGCAGCTTGGAGGAAGAAGAAGGACATCAGGAAATAGAAGATTTGTCACCAGATGCTGACCATGATGATTGGCCTGGGCCATTCTCTACTGCCATGAGAATCATCAAAGAAAGATGTGAAAAGCTGAGGGCTCGTGAGTCAAATTCTTATGTGAAGAAGGATGAGACCAGCCAATTAAAAATTCCATGGATGCCTTCAAACAACTGCAAGCCCTTTGCTCGGCCACCTCCAACACTTCGAGATTTGTGCATGAAAGTTCTCTCAGATAATGCTGAAGAGATTGAATCATTTGATGGCATTCCTGATGTTCTCAAACACAAGCTTATATTAATGTTATGTCACTCTAGGAAAATGAGTCCTCGCCTTATTGGTCTTCTTGTGAGAGGTAGTCCCACTGAGATATGCTTAAGTGATTGTTCGTGGGCAACAGAGAACCTGTTTCAGGAGGTCTTTTCCCAATGTAACACAAAATGCTTGAAGGTATTCTTTACTGCAGTTGGCATTATTTCAGTTATTCTAATGCTTTGAGAATGATGATTTGTTTCAATAATTGATCATATTATTGGTTTTTCCTCTTCCTTTTGCATCAGAAATGAGACAGTTTTATATGGCTGGTGAAAATGTTCCCTTTGAAATTTAGCAGAATGTTCTGTGAAGGGCATGCAAGTCATATTATGATTTTCTTTTTGCAACTCTGTACATCAAATGTCAAGTTTCCCATACAGATAACTGAGTGCACTTGAAAAGAAAGAAAAGAGGCATTTGCTTGATCCATTGGTTTTGCTTCTGTTTTTTGTTTTAGTTTATTTTTTATCCCTTTAGATTGTTAAATTCCCATCTCTAATGGTTTTTTTTTTCCTTTTCCATTTGTTGTTCTTGCATATTTGTGATCAGGTGGTACAACTAGACCTATGTGGAAGATGTTTGCCAGACTCCGTGTTGCGTGGTACCTTGGCCCAGTACCCACATAGTTTGCCTTCATTAACTACAATATGTCTCAAGGGTGCTTATCGTCTTTCAGATGATGGTTTAAATGCAATCATTCATTCAGCACCTTCCTTAAGATCTGTAAACTTGTCACAATGTTCTCTTCTTACCTCATTAGGGATCATAAATGTTGCTGCTAAATTGGACACAGTCTTGACAGAATTATATGTTGATGATTGCCAAAATGTGGATGCTATGGCTATTCTCCCTGCTTTGAAGAAAATAATTCATTTAGAGGTTCTGTCAGTAGCTGGAATTCAATCTGTCTGTGACAAATTTGTTCACCAGCTTATTCCTGTATGTGGTTCACACATGAAAGAACTTATCTTTGCTAGATGCCAGTAAGTATCTTACTGTATATGTATCTTGTATAAGGTGATATGCTGTGATGCATTCCAAAATACTTTTTATGCTGTGTTTTGCTTTTCTTGTGTTGTTAAAATGAAACTCCCTGAAGTTGACTGGTGGTAGTATATAGTCATCTACATGCAAAAGGCTATTCTTATCATGATATCTGTGATCTTTGCTCAAATTGTGTTATTAAACATTTCTGATTCTTGGTTTTGTTCACTTGGCACAGGAAATTGTCTAGTGCTTCCGTCAAAACTATTAGTGCATATTGTTCTAGATTATGTGCTATTGATCTTCGGAATTTGAACCGACTAAATGATTCTGCAATAGGATATCTTGCGAATGGTTGTAGATCACTTCAGAAACTTAAGCTGCGTCGCAGTGCATTCAGGTTCTTTCATTAACCCTGTGCCAAATTGTTTGATTTTAGTTATAGACTTTTGTGTGTTTGCTTTGTTTCTTACTAGGTTACATTATTATTAGTTGGTATGAGTGAAGTTTGTGGTCATGCTTTGCTATAGTATTTCATAACTTTCATAGATTTGAAACATTATCTTTTCATACGATTGGGTTGTAGGAATTTCCAGCCAAGCTTGCGATGATTGGGACATGGTTAGTTGGTAAATTAGGGTTGGGATGAAATGCACCACTGGAGTATGGAACTGATTGGACTTGGCCTAAGATGAATTAAGACTTTGCGAACTCCCAGGACTTGCTGATGACTGGTAATAGCTAGGTGGAATTGGTCAAAACCAGAAAAATCTACCGTGTATCAGCTGGAAATTGTTAACATATGATTCTTCTATTGCTTCTTTGGTTTCCTGAATGGATTGAACCAGTCAGGCTGATTCCAAGTTTTTCTTGTTCATTTGGGATGAGGGGTTTTGGTTTTTTTCTGTCCCCTTAACTAAAATTGATTGATCCAGATTAGAGTCAACTGATCCGGCAAGCCATGTTCCAAGTTTACTGCAAAAACAGTTAAATAGAATTTCAAGTTTCATGAAAAGCAGTCGCTGTCGATCACACACAACCACTTAAAATTTACTTGTTATTGAGTAATTTTAGTTATAGAATGGAAGTTGTAAGGTTTATTAAGTTCTTGTTTCCAGATTCATTGGGAAATTATTGATACTTGAATTTTAAATAGTTTACATACACATAAGCTTTCCATATCTTACGATTTATGTAATTTCTTTCTCTCAGAAGCTATCAAAGATGGAAATCATAAAGAAATGTTTGCATGGTGAAGTTATTTAGATACTTCCTTTTGAATCATTATATATTAGAATTTCTTGTTTACTTATTGATTTATTGTTAGTTATGAAGAATATTGTTAAGTCTCTTATGTTTTTTTCTGTCTGTGCTAGACATCGATAGTAATATTTTTATATGCTTCTTGGCACATGCTAATTGCTAGTATATACACGGCATAATTATGTAAAAGTTTTAAGTCAACTCCAAAAGAGGACCAAACTCATTTAGTTTATGATGGGCAAATCATCTGCATTTTCTAGGAAGTCACACTTAATTGTATTATTCATTTAGTTTATGATTTTTTAAAGAATAATGATATAATATGTAGGTTTTATGTGGATCATGTATGCGAAGTCTTGATTATGTGTTGGATATTGGAAATATGTTTTTCTTGGCATTTCTTGAGCAATTATGGATATGAATGATTTTTTTAATGTTTTTTGCAAGTATATTTTACCAAGTTTATTGTGAATGGTTGTTAGACTTCTCATAACAAATATCACAAATATATGTTTATGGAAGATTTTGTGTATGCTGTGTCTTTTTCTACTTCTCAATATTTTTGTGTAGCTTATTTGTTTTCTTAGCTTTATGTCAGTGCTTCATGGATAGTTAAAAGATTTCATTTGGTTTAGTTATGCAACAAAAGGTTTTTTATGCTTTCAAAATTTGTGGATTTTCCTCCACCGAAGCTAAATCAAAGCTAAAGCATTTTGATAAACTGGGTTTATCACTGACAAATAGAAGTTTGTTAAGAATATGTTATTTTGATAAACTGGATTTTCCTTCAAATTTTTTATTCAATAATATTTTAAGAATACTATTTGAAGCTAATGCATTTTGATAGTGTTTGTAAATATAAACCAACTCCAATTTTCTCCCACTTCCAATATGAGATTAAACGGGGGTGTTTGATAGTACTTGATTTGTTTAGCTCATGTTCTCTTCACTCATTATGGTTTCTGTTTACCCATGCCCAAGCTGGCATGAGGCATTACTTATTATTGAGTTATGTGAATTTTCTTTTATCACATGCCAGTGATGAAGCAGTTGCAGCATTTTTGGAAGCCTCTGGAGGTTCATTGATTGAGCTTTCACTGAACAATGTCGAAAAGGTAGATGCCTGATCTTACCAATGGTTGTGTCTTGGAAGTTCTTTATTGCAATTGGTTGATATTAGCTGCACTTAAATGTTTATCTACAAAGTCAACTGAAAACTTAAACAAGTATAAATAATGGGTTATTTGGCCCTGGTACATGCATGCTTGTTTTAAGGTGGTGATGCAGCTCTGTGACATAATGGAGCAGGTTAATTTGTTATAGAACCCTGTTAAATACAATAGGCTAATGCTATCTATGTCAGTTTTGTTCTTCCTTATATTTCTATAATATCTGGTGTATAGGTGGTTCTAGATTTGTTCTTGCTGTCTTCTTTTTTTCTATTTTGTATCTTGTTGGTCTTTGCCTCTCAAATCAGATAGATCAATATAGGTTTCAAGTAAAAGAAGGAACATGTGGTATTTTGATAAAAATAACACATGCTGATTTTTGTGTGGAAATGGAGTCCAATCATAAAAGGAATTAAAGGTCAAATTCTTTTAAATGTCATGCGTCACACCAAGTGTCGATAGTTTTTTTATGTATAAAAATGAAGACCAAAACTCAAATATGAAACCTATCTAGTGAGTTTTTTTGTACATACTATTCAGTAAATACATTTTATAGAATTAAGATATTTCCTCATCTTAATTTGAGTAATAAATTCGGCTTTGATTTCCAAGTTATGAATTTCAATCCTATTTTTAGATAGTCAAAATTTATCGTGACTAAGAATTATCAATATTCAATTGAAAATAAACACTATCAATATCTCTAACAAATTTAAAAAAAACTCTTAAATATTCTTTTATGAGACTTCTTCTCAACAATAAATATACTAAAAGAAATTTAATTATTTCTTTGGTAAAGTCAAGATTTCCATTTTTCTTAGTAATATTTAAATAAATTTATTAGGCTATCTAGAAAATTCCTTTTATCTGAAAGCACTTCTATGAGCAATGTGCATAAAAAAATTCATGACAGATAATTAACATTGCAGTGTTGTCGTAATAAAACAAAGCCAAATGGCATGAACAAATAGTTGAACAGATTTGTAGATCATACATATAAATTATGACAAAATAGTTCAGTTACAAAATGAAAAATCATATATGTATGCATGATTATCTTATGGTTCATAGAACAAAAATTTTTGCTAGTCATCATCAATAAACAACCACTTCAAATTGGAAGGTGGTTTGCTTGGTGAGATATGGAAGTTAAATTCTTTTTGGATTCAATCATTGCATGCTTGCACTTTTATGATTTGCACACTCCAGTATTTTAGCTATTTCTCTCATGATTGGATGAACAAAAGGTTTTGAGACTATTGCAGCAAAATCCTATCCTTTCTCAATTGAGGCACTATTCAGTTGCAGCAGACTTTTGCCCCCTTCTTAGACACTATTAATTGATTGAGCCACTTGTCAGTTGGGAATAATTATTGAAATTTATAACATATTTTGCTGAAGGTTTTACTTCGTAAGTGAATTTTATTCTTTTTTCTCGATTCGCTAGACGTCTACATATATTTCATAGTATCAATTTATTGATTGTTACACATGTAGCTTGTTTTGGTGTTAAAAAAAAGGTGAAAAACCATTTGTTTGTTCTCTTGAACAAGTAAATTAGCAAAGTTTGTATCCTGCTCTTATCCAGTGATGCCAAATAAAATGATTGTATCTCCTTTATAAGCCTTGCACTTTCTGTTATGGAATCATGTAATCTCAATTCTTATGCAGGTTGCACAACAAACTGCTCTAGCCATTTCACGCCAGTGTTCCTCAACCTTGTACAGTCTGGATCTTTCATTTTGTCGAAAATTGACAGATGAAGCACTTGGTTTGATTGTGGACAGTTGTTCATCTTTAAGAATTCTTAAATTATTTGGATGCACCCAGGTACTTGTTCCTTCCATTTCATTCAAATTTCATTACACTACAGGTACAATATATCTGGTCGTATTCAACTTTGAATTATTAGCTTTTAAAAAATTTTAGCCTTGCGCTTTTTTCTTTGAGATATTGCATGAAATTATTAATCGGAGTGAATCCCGTAGCAATTGTTATGATTAAAAGTTGTTCCAAAAGGGTCGATCTCACATAGTTCTATTAGCAAACTTTGACAATGTCTGATAACCCATTACTCGAAGATTAACAGACCCTAGAATTTTTTCCGGAGTAGATAATGTATATAATCTACTGAGTTTAACTAAGGGGATAATTATTTCTATGCAGGCCACAGAAGTATTTTTTAGTGGTCACTCGAACTCCATTGTCAAACTCATTGGATGTAAAGGACAGCTATTAGACGAAATGGAGATTCCTCATTTTGTTTAGCAACAAAGATTTTGCCTTTCTTGTGGGGTTCCCAAGGTATTAAACTCTTTACCTGTTAAGATCGGTGTTCATTAACACTTTGGTCGAAGCAAATGATAGTTTTTTTTAAAAAAAAACTATCCCTATTCCCTACATCTAATTTTTCTTCTGTTTTCGGGTGGGGAATGGAGCAATTAAAAGACAGTAATGTCTCGACAAAATCAATGTATGATGTCTTGTTTTGTGCCATTGGTTTCACTAGAGATGTTTACTAGCATGTCCGGGGACAAAAAGAAAGTTCCATCTAGTAGCTCTCGATTTAAGTTGATTTGAAATCTTTGATAAAAGAAAAGGTTTGACAATTTAGCATGTGGAGTTCAAGAAATAATTTTGTTTATTAAAGAAAGGGGAAAAGACAATGCTTTTAAAATAAGGGAGCGCAAAACCTTCCAGACTTTTTTCTTTCTCTTAAAAGTGATTGCTTGCACACATTTGACTGTTAGCACATTGTGATTAAAACGGAAAAAGAAAATTAATCTCATCTTTTAAAAAAATAACAAGTGTAATATAGAAATAAACTAAAAAGAGGATGCTCTTTGAAGAAAAAAAAAACATGGGGGTTTTTTTGGGGAATTTACTGAAAAAATAACAGAGCAATCAAAAGCTTGTTATGAATTTATAAGCATATACTTCTTTTTTCTTGCTAACATTGTAACAGCAACAGTATCATTCAGAAAATAGCATTGAAATTGAATTACTACTCTCGTTATCCTACCCCACGCTCCACTTTTTTCCAATTTTAATGGATTTGCAAATGGTATCTCACCATCTTGAAGAAAAAAAAAAAAGAGGCATAAACCCCTTAGCATCTAATAGACCAATGAATATTTGGTGATGGAGGCTACAAATTTGCTTATAAACTTTAGATCAGCTAAAAGTACAAGACAAATTCATAATTTATCATACCAAGAACATGACCGCTATGGGTAAAGCTTAAACCAACAAAAAATCATCCAGCGTAACTAACATCAACAAGCATTCGAAACTTGTTCACTTGGCCTTCCAATTAAAAAAAAAACATTAGCAAACTCAGCCAAAAGCATTAATTTCATACATGAATACCTTCACAGCTTGTTGTCCAAAGGCCGAGCATATATACTCTCTAAAACACAGTTCTGTAAACTGATTACATGTCTGACTACATTTTGATTCCCACTGAAACCAGAAAGCTTAGGGATTTCAAGAGACAAAGATGTAAACCCTCTTCATCGTTCTTTGGGCACCATCATGAAGTTGCTGCTGTTAATGAATGAACAAGCAGCAGTACAGAGCACTAACCATACATTATAAAGATCGTATTACATGGTTAACGGCAACTATTTTACAATCCTCCTATATTCAATCTGAGCAAAAGAATCATGACGTCCTGAAGAAACAAGAACTACGGTAGTTGACTCCAAGCCGCAGATGATGCACACGGTGTGTGTTTGATTTACTTACGAGATGACAATCCATGTTTCCAGCTGTAGGTTCTTCGGTTCGATTCTTGAGGTGAGAAGGTAAGCCCAAACATCTCCTTGAGAGCCTGCCCTTGTTCTGCAAGTCCAATCACTCTTGAGATAACAGATGCACTCTCTCTTACATGTTCTAGATCCTTGGTCTTGGACCAAAGGTGCCGAACAAGCTGCAGTCTTCTCTGTTTCGAGTCTAATGAAATTCCCCACTTGATATAGAGACTCTCTCTTTCTGCCGCAGACAAACTCTTCTGCATCTGCCTGCAAAGCATGTCTCTTTCACGCCGAAGCAGTTTCAAACTGCCGAAAAGCAAACAGACATAGTTTCAGCTATAAACTATGTTTACAAACAAATAAGAGGAAATTTGTAGGCACGGCATCAGGGTAGAACCTTTGTGAGGAAGTTGTTCTCTGATCAAGTGCTGCAGCTTTGTGAACATTTCCCTGAAATAAATTGCTCCTTAAAAAGGATAGCCTCCTAAGTTCCACTTCCATGTAAATAGAGTCTGTTGGATCACCTTTGAAAAGCATGTAAAAGTAAGTCCTATGGACTAGGGAAACATTACAGTCATGCCAAAGCTCAATAATCTCTTGTTGCTTCTTCTCAAATTCCTGAGGCCATCTGGAAGGAGACTGCAGAGAATCCATTGTTGATTCCAGACCAACATCCTTGACAGTACTCTCAGCTCCAAAGTCTTCAACCACATTCAATTCAGTCTCCTGATATCATGCAAACACAAACTTCAAAGAAAGTATCATAGCAGGAGTTACCAACATACTTGAAGATCATGTTCATTGTTACTTTAGTAATATGAAACTATCTTAATCAGATGCATCATTCAATATAATTTCTCTCAAAGTGAAAACCAATATTATTTGAAATAACAATTTGGCACTGGAGGTATCAAAAGACCAATTTCATGGTTAAACCAACAGAAAACTATTTCTATAGAATAATCCTGAATCATTTATGCAGTCAGAATATGGACAGAAAAGCCATAAGAACACAGTTGCCACACCAGATGATGTCTCCATTTCAGACTTAGTTCATCAAGTTTTAAAGTTCTTGTCAATTATCGATATGTCAAAATCTGAAAACTTACTAACAGTTCACATAGGGGACCAATACACTGTCAAAGATTGTATGTCCATCTAATTCTCCATTGTTGACAGTGAAAATTTGGCAAAATATACTAGGGAGTGGATAACTTGTCCATCCCCAAGTTGACTGTATATACTTGGACATTTCACTGCAATCCAAAAGCTTTAGATTCTTCAATTAAATACAAGTCAGAATCTTCTATTTAGAAGCTATATGATTTTCACATCAATGTGCAACTCATGCAAGAATCTCCACCATGTTACAGAACCAATCCTCTTATGATTAGAGTATGCAATTACTCACTTTTGCACACACTACATGCTATTAACTCAACCACACGACTTTAAAAAGTCAACCATTCTCATTCTTCAGCACATTATTAATCCACATGCAATCTTTCATTTTTTTGGTACAGAACACAATCTAAAAGAACCATTCTTATGCATAGTTACACACCATTCATCTGCTCTATAAAACAATATCAGACACCTTCCTAGGGGCTAGTTCCCAGTGTTAGTCACCAATATTTCCATCAGCCAAATAACTATCACCCCATCAAGTAATCAACCACATTTCTGTTATCTTAAACCAACAAACCCATCCCACCATGAACAATGTTTGGATTGTGCATTGTTTTCAGCAGGGAACTAAAAGGAGTATAGAACAGGACCAAGGTTCTTTATGAGTTTTGTTACCAGCATATACTACATCTCTTCATCAATCACTCTTAGTCTACAACTCCCAGTCCTATAGGTGGCACGTAAGTCAACTAAAGTGCTACCATCAGATGCGAGAAGACATTGGATAGAAAACCCAAGGCACTTTCCTCCTTTCTTCATTCCTTATTTTCGCCCAACAGTATACCATCACATGGTTACAGCATGCCCTATAGACTGGCATGATGGCATGTTGTGATGGAGAAAACATTGGTCCAAGAAGATAAGATCAATATGTCAAGCATATGATAGTAAATTACTATAGTTAGAATCCATCTCCCCTTAAAACAAAGTTCATTAATTACCTTATGAAAGATGGCACATCATAAGAATTGTCTTATATGTACCATACAGAGCTGCACAGCGACACGAAAATGCACACAAGAAAAAATAAGATAAAAAATTTTCCAGTCAAAATTTTCATACCTGATCAATGATCAACTGTTTCTTACGATGGACTTGAGTCATCTTATTCGGCTCTCTGTAATCATCCAATCTAGTTGTTTCAATTTCAGGATCAACATCTGGATTCAATTGTTTCTCTCCACTAAAGGAGGTGTCATCTTCAGAATTTTGAGATCCTCTCACTGAAAGTTTTCTGATCTCAGAACCATGATTTAAGGCAAATAGTTTCTTTTGAAATCCGTCAGGCCTTCCTGGGAACTCTCGTAGAGATAGATTAGGTGGCGTACTATCTTCTTGGAGCCAAGGCGAAGAGCTCACCAAAATTGACCTACAGCTTCTACTTCTACTGAATGGCAAGGTTCTAAAACTTGGATCTTGCCATGAGGACCATGGAGATGAAGCATCTGGATAAGCCTTAACAAAATTGACTAGTGTCTTCCTAACGTTCTGAAGATGTTGCTCCAATGTGACAGGATCAGCACCAAGTGATCCCAAATCCATCTGTCTTTCAGGTATATGATGTCCGTGTATTCGTTCAGAGGAAATTGTGGCAGGCTGTTCGAGACTATTGCTTCCTTCAGTTAGCAAGGAATTTGAATCTTCACTTCTACATGCCTCATTCATCTCAATACAGCAAACTTCCTTGCAGATTTCCTCAAAATCTCCATCGAGGCTTTTATCAATCTCTTCTTCACCTTGATTTCCACTTAACCCAATGAACTCAAATTTTGTTATTGAGTGCCTTGGTGATGGAGTGCCTGGTTTTTGTGTTTGCAGGTAGTGTTGACTTCTTGACGTTAAAAATTTTGTGGATGAAGAATCAAGACTACAATCAGCAATATCTGAACGCTCGGTCATTGAAAGCAAATCCTCACATGCATAAGGTACATTAAGTGATGAGGTTTGGCTTGACTCCTGAAAGAAAGACAGGAATAAATAGAGAACTAAATTAATTAATTGATAATACTGCACATAGGAAAAATGAATACCCATTGTCTTGAAGAATGATCCTTGCCAACAACTTGCAGCAAACCATCCACTCGTAACTGAGCTACATCCCGCTGCTGGATCAACTCCTGTATCTCACTCTCCATCTGTGCAGTTCGCAATATTAGCAATAATTGTCAATGTCTTACACTACTGCAGCTGTGAGTATTGGGAAGTTTATTATAGGAGTTCAAAGATGTCCATGTCTTTTGAAATTCAGATGGTTTCTGTTTTAGCTAATGGTATATCTCAAAATGCAACCACTTATACATCACATGAATGACAATAAAGGCTTGAAGGAATCTAT